CGTTAAATTTTATCTTGCATGTAATTAAGCTGTTTTACCTCTAACCCCCAGAGGTCGGTGCGCCTGCATTTGGATGGGAATATGTTCCCATTTTTCCATTGGGTTTTTTGGGTTTTCGTATCAGGCGGCGGCACACTAAACGTTTTAGCCCGAGAGGTGATGACTAGTTGTTTATTATTCTGTGAAACTTTGTCGGACGGCATTAAATACTTGGGCTCCTAGTTCGAGCTGCACACCCAATCTTATGTAAGAGTCGTGAATTTAAATAGGAAGGCATAAATCTTTCATCTTCTGGCGTCTTTTTTTTCCTTGCGTGTCGATCGTAAAGCACACACAACCCACAATTCCTCTATTCGCTCCGGCGAAGGGCTAACGCTCGAAACGTCAGCTTTTGTAATCGTTACGGGGGCCAATTTACCATTTCAACTTTGTTGATATATCCAAATTATTTCGTTACCCCCGCCGACGCAGCCTTAAACAGTTTCTTTCGAAACTATCAGCCTTTATTCGATCGAAAACATCACTTGATCCCAGACTTTGTGCTTAATGGTCAATGTCTTACCCAGTCTTCTCCCTACCAATGTTCCGATGCTTTGCACATCGCCTCGCACGCGCACGATCGCCTCGCACTTGAAATTTCCTTAGCTTTTTCCTTAACTAGCACATTATACTATGTCAACGAAAGAAAAAACGCCATTCTTTATTATTTTGAAAGACTTTTCCAATAAGTTTAGAGGAAGGTTTGCGTGTTTGCGGTTGAAGTAGACCTCGAGGAAAATTGGTCCGGGCTAGCAAGTTGTGTTTCGGGCTGGTAAATTTTAGAAATCACTAGCCCGGTGGCTAGTAATGCAGGTAGCCAAGTGTCGAACCCTGTCAATGGGGTTAACTATTACTCGTAAAATGGCAAAATTTAGTCCTTAGGCGTAAAAAATTGACAAATTTTAACCGTGAGTCCAAAAAATGATGTAACCGTTAAAAAAAATTAGCATTAGCCATATAAAATGGCCAAAAAATGTAACCGTTAGCCGTGAAAGCCATCTTTCCATTCAGACCGTCATTACATTGTCACATCTTTTGTAAAAGGCACGATCAGCAATTGATTTGACTACTCAAGCTCCAAAACCTAGACCTTAAAATTTGGTAATTTTTCCAGCATACACGTATGATATCTCATATGTATTTCAACCGCAGATTTGTAGTGAAACAGCTGAAAGGTAAGTCTTGTCTGGTGCAAAAAAGAGTACTTCTCGTTTGTAATTGCAGAATGACGGATGTTAGGACGAGTTCCAAACACTGTTTCATAACTCGCTCCCCCGACGCAGTGAAAGAATTATACACGGCTTTCTTCGAAGCGACCGCAAGCTAACACAAATAGCTCCGCTTAATTCTGGTCTCGATTTCCATTTCACTCTTGTTTCAAAGCAAGTGAAGAAGCTATTTAAGTTACCGCGCCCACCTGGGGTCCCCCAACCTTACGTAAATAGACCTTAAAAGAACTAATGCAAGTTCCTTTTTCAAATGTAGAAGATAAGCTTCTCTCGGAAAAAAAGGTACGGAAAACTCGACCGACCATTAACTCTGACGCGGCAAAATGGCACTTACAGCGGGAGGGAAGAGTACTTTTGCTCATTCCCAGCTGACTGTGCGACCGTAGAAAGTGACGTCACTAACCATGCTCTTCCTTAGAGATATTCAGGTTGTCACACTCACTGTGATTAAACACAAATTCTTATCGTTTGCTGTCCATCTAAACGTTCAAATAGTTCTCAACTTTCCTGTATCCCCACAATGGCAATTTAGCTCACTGTCAAATCGTCAAAGCAATTAGGAAAGATGCGTGACCTTGCCTATTATGCTTGACCAGAGTTCTTGTTTTCTTTTTTTTTTCTTCAGAACAGTTTTTTTTTAAAAAGAAAGAAAGTAAAGCAGAAAGGCCAAAGCTACGGATGTCAGACTGGAAGGCTATTGCGGAGCTACTCAGCTTCATCAACTTAACCCCACTGGCAATTCGTCATGTTTTTATTTCCCTAAAACAAAGGGTTCGGTGCAATGGTCCTGAATTTCCTGTTTCTTATTTTCACAAGGATATAGAAGTCACAGACTGCAATTTACTGACCTTTATCAACCAATCCCCTTTGACAGTTTTTATGTTTTATTTCTCCTACCCTAAGAGCCTTGGTGCAATTGTCCTGAGTTTCCTGTTTCTTACTTTCACAAGGATATAGAAGTCACAGACTGCAATTTCCGACGTACTGACCTTTATCAACCAATCCCCTTTGACAGTTTTTATGTTTTATTTCACCTACCCTAAGGGCCTTGGTGCAATTGTCCTGAATTTCCCCCCTTCTTATACCAACAAGAGATTTTTTAAGAACACATACTATACAGGAAAATAAATAACGGATGCACATGTTTGCATTAAAAATAAGCACTAGAAGTATTACAAATACTTAAAAAAAAAACACCTTATTTTTTCCAAAGCATTCTTCATAATCACAAACAACTTTGCATCAAATAGGATTCCAGGTCCGTTTACAAGATGCGACGAGAGTAGCCTAAACGGAGAAAATTGGAAAATTTGAATTGTTGAAAGAAACTAAAAGGTTATAACTGAGTTCTCGAAATGTCATTCCTTTCCCTTTTTGAGAAACTAATGAAAAACTTTTAAGAATTAAATAAGCGATTTCATTCTCAAGAAAAAAATATTAGAGCTTGTTAACATTAGAATATACTACTTTTCCTTCTCTCTCTTTCTACAGTAAAAGATGAATTAAAAATTCCGGGCAATCTTTTCAATTATTCCAGATTTTTTTCGCTTTCAATTAAGAATTTCTTAATTGTCATAATCATTATCATATTTGTATTACTTGACACACCTTTATTGATTGCACTATAAAAGCATTGTCAGAGAAATATTCTAAATTTCTGCTCACATTACAGTTTTCCAAAATAGCAGTTTTGATTATCAGTAACAAAAGCTGTAAGTAATGACACAATAGTTTGTTTTTGATCCAATTCAGTGCCAAGTCATCAGGGTCAAAATGGCTCCAAGAAGGGCACAAAACAGGTTTCTACCCTTGGAAGAACATAACCCACATTTCTGGTATTATCACTTTAGAGAGCATTGATAAAATGCATGTAGATACAGAAAAAAAAATGACAACAAAGCGGTCTGGACAATCATGCCAGTGCACATGCAGAATACCAAAATCTTCATTTCAGTCTGCCAACTACACAACATCATGTCCAACAGAGTGATAGTAAAGAATACTTTGAACAGATGACTTTACTCACTTTCTGCATTAACTAAATCAACTAATATTTTAAGAATTATACTTGTTACATTAGCTGTGATCCTGGCTACCTTGTATATCAAAACTACAAGCAATTCCATTTGGTGGAAAACTGCCACTGAATTCCAGTTTTGGAAAATTAAAAAGAAAATGATCAAATTCATTTAAGGTAAACTCAGCAACTAAGCCAAGTGGCACATCTGGCCAGACCTTGTCCCAGTTTCCATGGCATCAAAAGACCTGGGCCAGGTTATTCAAAGGGGAAATTATTCCAAAAAGGTTCTTGAATAGAGATTTAAATAAAGAAACTTGGATTAATTTTTAACCTTAGATTAGTCTGGACCCAGGAGTATTGCTGCCCCCCCCCCCCCCAGATAGTAAGCTTGTTGTCCATTGTACATGAACAGGTAGGTCAATCCACCCCTCTTCAACCCCTCAAGGTTTGCTTGACAGTTTATCAATTCCTAAAAATATTCCTGGGTGGGGAAAGACATGGTGAGAGGAAAAATCTTGCCTGAGAATGTAAAACAATCAGCATTTCAAGTCTTCAACCCAGTTCTTACCACCCAGAGTCCAGCACCCTTATCGTTATGGCACAAGATCTCCCCCAAAACCACTCAAAACAAGCAACTATCATAAAAATTCCAATTCTGGGGAAAAGGACAAAAATCATGTATTAAGATCGTCAATTTCTTAAACATACACAACAGTACACACCCTCCTAAAAAAAAATCAAAGTGACTTTTTTTACAACTAATGATCTCTCGTGTGTGGCAGTCTATGTAAAGGATTGACTTTTGTACATTTGGAGTACACTCTGCACTCAGTCATCAAATCCTTGTTTTATTGTTTATCATCAACATTCACCATGTCACAAATTAAACACCCTCCTAAAACCAATCATTCTAATTGTTATGTCTCCCATTTCACTTTTAGCCAAAACCTGAATGCATAAGCATCGTGTGATGCAACTTCTGTTTAATGCAAGCAGCCTCATTACCCGCCTCCTGGTTAGCTCAATGGATAGAGCGCTGGACTGTTGTGCGGGAGGTCGAGGGTTCGAGCCCCAGCCGGACCAACACTCAGGGTCTTAAAAATAATTGAGAAGAATTTGCTACCTTTCTATAACATCAAGAAATGGTTAGATATTCTAGTCTTCTCGGATAGGGACGAATAAATGGAGGTCCCG